TTGAAAGAGAGAGAAAGATCCTAGGGAATCTAGGATACGTTACCAAACGAACAACATTCCATCTTCTTCCTTCCTCCTTCGTGCATGAGGTCGATTGACGTTCACAATATTTACACTCTTGGTAAGTTATTCACCATTGATATATGTAATCAAGAAAAAATAATTATAGTTAGGATGCATATTTTATTTCATGGCCTATTCGTTATTTGCAAACAAATAATTAACATGAGGGAAAGAGTCGCCCCCTCACAGGGGATACTCTGACACTGAAGAAGGATGGATGACTATAGAAATCAAGCAGAGAAGGTTCAATCTGGTGAAAAGGGGAAATATTTTAGAGCTAAAAAATGATTGCAACTACTTTCTTCATGTCTCACTTACCTGAATGATGTAAGAGTAGCAAGCTTGGAAAGTTTTCAAGGATGTAATGTGGCTAAGTATGATAGAAGGAATTTTCTGTGAGATTGTTCCATTAATGTTAGTGGTGAAGCCGACAGGAAAGATGATAGGGAACGAAAGGATACATGGAGACCTGAATTGGATGGATATATGGTGCATGCCAAATCATTCAAAGAGGCTCTATCTAGATCTTTCAGTGGGGGCTGTAAAACATGATAATTCTACCTATATGGGGAATTATTCCAGATATGGTGGAAGTCGATTCGCATCGATCTACGGCAGATGAATTCCTTCAGAGCAACATACTACATGGAGTAGATGGCTCGCGTGGTTAAAAAGATGGGATAAGAAATTTTTTCACAATCAAAGGATTGTTTGGTTAAAGATTTGTGGAAGTACTCTTTCTGGAATACCAATGTCTTATCGATGATTGCTGGAAAGTTTGGAAGGGTTTTAATTCCTTGTAATTAATCTAAAGAAATATATAAAATCTCGGTTGGTAGGGTTTGTATTATAAGCACAAGGTAGGTAGATGGTTGTGATCAATGGACAATGGGTGCCATAATACATAGTTGATGTGTATTAATATGAATATTTTTGTTGCCAAAACATTTTTGTCGTTATTTGATTTACATTAGTTTGATATTATATATATATATATATATATATATATATATATATATATATATATATATATATATATATATATATATATATTCTGGTTGTTAAGTTGTTGATTTTAAAAACTTTTATTTAATTAATGTGTCAATAACCTATCTTGAAAATATTATAGTTGATGGTGAAAAAATAACCAAAGAAAAAAAATAAAGTGTGAAAATGAGGGATAATACTATAAAAAAAGAAAAAACTAATCGTAGAAAAAAGAAAAAAAAAATGCTGCTAATTAAAGGAGCAAAGCTATAAATAAAATTAAAAAAAAAAAAAAAAATCGTAGTAAATTTTTAGGAAGGAATTATAAACGTATCACCAAAAAATGGATACGAATCTTTTGCTCTCATTAATGATTATAACTAAAATAAATCCCGGATTCCTTAGGATTTTTCTCTCTTTTTCAATATTTATAAATTTAAATCAATGGTATAATTGTTTTTATATTAAATTTTCAGTGAAAGAATGAAAATTTCCAGTGATCTAACCGTTTTGTTTATTTTTATTTCATTTATTGTTACTTCATTTATTCTTATGTTTTAATCATAAAGTTAATGCAGATGTCTGCCAATTATGTGCTATTAGAGAAATGAATGATAATTTTTCTCCATTAGATCCAAAAGTTGAAACCAACATGTCTTCATGTATATTTATAAAAAATTCTAACTTTTTATTTTTATTTTTTATAAATTTAATTTCCGTTATGATAACTCTTACTGATAATTGTTTATATATAGTAAACTATTTGTGCAAAAGAATTAATCGTCTCTACAATTTAATTTTTGAAAAATAATATCCGCACCCGACGCTTGGCGCGGGTAAACGGTTAGTGTGTGTGTGTGTGTGTGTGTGTGTGTGTGTGTGTGTGTGTGTGTGTGTCTATATATATATATATATATATATATATATATATATATAATATATTATATATATATATATATATATATATATATATATATATATATATATATAGTATAATGATAAATGTTGAAGCATTCACCACACGTATAACGTTGCCTAAATTTGAAACTAGACAAGTCAATTTCAAACGAAGAATTTTTTTTGTCAATTCTTTGCACATCTTTTCCATTGTTTGTTTTCGTATATAGTGGTGTGGAAAACCATGTCGTACCGAAAAAAAAATGCAAGAACTGAATTGGACGGCACCAAGTCTAAGGCTGCAAAAGGGGAACTTGATTCTATAGTTCAAACTCGAAAGAGAACCATTTTAATTTTTCAAAATTTTGATTTTCGATTTGATTATTGGTTCAAACTTGGATCTTGATTGTAATTCGAAAGCAAAAAACAATCATTTTTATTTTTTAAGCTTAAAACACATGAAAATATATATATATATATATATATATATTATATATATATATATATATATATATATATATATATATATATATATATATATATATATATATATATATATATATATATATATATATATATATATAGATAGGTTCATTTGAGAACACCTATATTTTGTGAGACCGTAAGACGCATTTTTTTTATTTTTTTTAGTTAATTCATGTTCCGAAAATAATATTTAAAATTTTTTTTTTTTATTTTTCCATTTATTTTGCATTTTAAAATTATTTTTAGAATATGTACAGTATAATATTCTATTTAGAATATTTCACGTATTTTTCAAAAAAAATAAAAAAAAATTATTTTTTTTTATTTTTTTTAGTTAATTCAAGTTCCGAAAATAATATTTAAAAAAAGAACTTTTAGATTTTTCCATTTATTTTGCATTTTAAAATTATTTTTTTAGAATATGTCAGAGTAATATTCTATTTAGAATATTTTACGTATTTTTCAAAAAAAAAACGGAATTTTTTTTTTTTAATATTTTTTAATATTTTTTTTAGTTAATTCAAGTTCCGAAAATAATATTTAAAAAAAGAATTTTTGGATTTTTCCATTTATTTTGCATTTTAAATTTATTTTTAGATTTGGTCTCACAATCTCACAAAATTAGAATGGTTTCAAATGAAACTGAACCTATATATATATATATATATATATATATATATATATATATATATATATATATATATATATATATATATATATATATATATATATATATATATCCTCCTATTTTTCAAAATCTTCAAATAATTACTTATTTTGACAAAAAAATTATTCTCTAACATGTCACTAATTTTCGAATTAGTTTTTGTTTTCCCTATTCAAAGCTTCAAATTATCATCATAGGGGTACATATTTCGTAAATCTTTTCGAAAGAACATATTCGAATTTATTTTTTAAAAAGTTCAAATCGAAAAGAATATGAAAGACGTGTTCGAGCTCTTTAGTAAGTTTTGTTAATATATGTTACATTTTACCAAATAATTAGTGAAATTTTATAACTTTTTGCTCGAAAATCTTCATAAAAACTTGTTCAAAAAAATTGTCATGTCCAAAAATCTTATAAGAACATGTTCTAAAATTTAGATAATAATTTGCAAATATTTATTTGGAAATAGTTTTCTACATTTCACATTGTGACATATTGCATGTTGTTTATGCGTGCCTATCTATCAAATCAAGAAAAATGAAATAAAAAAAAAAAAGGTTGGAAAATTCAAAATATACATGCGTTGTATCACAAAGCAGTTTGAAAACAAAAAGTACTTGAAAATAATATTTCACAGTTCAAAAATGTAAGATTTTCGAACATGGTGGCGATTTTAAGATTTAACTTTGGCCATGTAATATTTCTTTATAATATTTGGTCACTAAAGTGAATATAAAGTTATTTTTTTAGGTTTATATTGTAAATGCATATAATTATTTTGTATCTATGTATTATTGACATTGTCGATGTAATTACATTAAAGTTCATTCCTATTGTTAGAACCGTAACGTAAGGAGGGGCAACCAGAGCGACAGTCAATGCCCGACTGCTTTTGGGGCCTTAAATTTATGTCAATTGTTGCAAATGTATTAAAGCGACTAAAACTGATGCACCAATTGCAGCAATTGATTTGAACCGAACAGAAAACGAATCAATTGAAATAAAAAGTAATGGTCACATTGGAATCAACGACCCCGGTGAGTCATGGCGTATGCCTTTTATTTCTTTCAATAAATAAACTATTTTATTTATTTTTCTTATTTTACAAATAATAAATAAACATGTTATTTAATTCTTTATTCTACAAGTGTTCCGATAATCGATGAACCATAAAAATTAAATTGGAAAGGTGTTTTGTTTTTGTATTATTTTAATTGTACAAAAATTAGTGTTACGAATAATCGATATATTTCAAAAGATTTGTTAGTACGATTTGTTGAAACAGTTATAAACAATATTCTTTTTTGTATTTTTGTTAAAACTAATTCGAACCGAAAAATTAATCTAAATATTAGAAATCCAATTTAAATTAATTTTAGCTTTTAGCAAGTTTTAAATAATAAACAATGTCATTAACAAAACTTATTTTAATGTTACTATTTGTTTCAAAAATACAATATTAATCGCATTACACATATAATAATATAAAATAAAAAAAAAAAAAAAAAACATAATATATGCCAAAAATTAATTAGTCAAAAATTGAGAATGAAACAATATTTCAAAGCCTAAAAATTTTGGAAGGGTCGAAGGAAAATACCCACGACACCGGAAAACTGCCAGTGTCGCTACTCGCTAGGCGTTGTCGTTGTCGTCGCGTTGCAAATTAATGTATAGGAGTTTACGACTTTACTGTCGACTCAAACCATTTTCCCTCTGGTCAACATTCAAAGCAATATTGACGTCCATTACAAACAATCCTTAACTTCCGACTACGCAGCTTATAAATAGCTTCATCACTTTCACCTTAATGCTCATTCCTTCTTTAATTACCACCAAAATTAAATCAAACAAAAGAGTTACCGGAAAATTGCTTGGTTAGCAAAGAAACACAGCAAGCATGCAAAAACAAAGCATTAAGGTTCTTGAAGCAGCTGCAATGGCGTCACTGGTTTTATGGTTGACCATGGTAGACCCATGCTATGCAATAATAAACAAGAATCAGCCAGCAGTTCTTCCACGTTTGATTTTACCATCGCTTGATCACTCCGGTACACGCAGCCCTGGAAATGGATGCAATCACAGTGATAATGGTGGAAACCATTGCATAACACCAGTCAACGGAAAGGCCTTTGCACGTCCTCATGAGGGTGGATCCGCCACCAACCGGAAAATGATGAGGCAGGCTATTGGAGCTTCGGATCAGATCTGACGTAGAAGCTCTATACCGTATGAGTATATGTTAAAACATGCATGCTCCTGCGCATGCATGATATAACTAATAACGTTTTGATTTCATATATTATTATTATATATTACTATTCAATTTTTATGATGTAAATCATTGTGTTACGGATATAAATGAATAAATGATGCTTTCCACTCGCAGTAAGTCTAAAATAGAAAATCACTTGACTCACTAACCGTATTTAATTGAGCTATTTAAACAATTTTGGGTTCACGAATAACGATTTACCCAAAAAAATAACGGTTTTAACATGTATACAAATTAATGTTGAAATGACTAAACTCAAATCGGTCATTCTTTTTTTTTTTTTACTAAAAGCAACTTATACTTCAAGTTAGTCAATATAAACAAGACATGAGTAAGTTTATGTTGTACAAATGAGAAAGAAAAAACATTTATTTATAATAGAAAACTCATGAACCAATTTTTTTTTCTTAGAGTCGATATGGGACTCTTTAATCCCAGTTATGATATGTTTTCTATTGTCTATAGTTTAATCTCACTTATGATATGTTTTCTATTGTCTATAGTTTATATCTTTTTATTTCTACGTTTTTACCAATCACATTAAGATAGGTCATTTAAAATATTTAAGGTAGATCCTAAATATGTTTTGTATATAACTTGTTATAAACTTTTTAATTTTAGGTGGGTCAAGTAACCCATCTTCCCATAACATAGCCTTGCCAATGTCTACTCATATATATTTGTGCTCATTACCAACAGAATGACAAAAATCCGTAGCTATTTCATCACACCTCTTTTCAATTGTGGACACAGAAATTTTCTGACACTAAAAAATAATAAACTCTATATTTTTATAGACATTATTACCAAGTTGAAACGGAGTAATGGACCAGAACCCCCAAGAACAACTTAAGTCACCCATTGCCTCCTCTCCAATTACCTTCAAGATGGTTTTTTTACAATAGATTTTCATGGAATTTTTAGATATTCTATCGGTATGCAATCCATCCGCAAAGTGAAAAATTAAGGAAAAAAAAAGTTAAATATAATTAGAATCAAACTTTTTACCTATATAAAATGAAGAAAAACTAAAATTAATTCAATACATTAAATCCAATTTAAAAATCAAATATAAATCTAAAAATTGTCCGATACATATTAGACAAACATATATAATAACTATTAATATTTGTGAGTATAGACTAACCTGTTGGATGTTTTGATAACCAAAATATAAACGCGGAAGCATAAACTTTGGATTTTTTAATCTCGAATATGATTAAAAGAAAACTTAAACATGAAAGACCGATTACATACCTGATTTCATTATGATCTTCGGATTTGAAGAACTAGGGTTGAGTTTTTCAGTTGATCTCAAGAACTCTCTCTAAATCCTACAGCAAACCCTAAAACGAATTTCTTGTATGTATTTTCGTATATTATGATTTGCTCCTCATGACATGTATATATAGATGGAGATATACCCTAATGTAAGAGATGGTAAAGATCTTGAAGATCTCGAGTCAAACAGGAAACTCAACCCACAAGGTAATTAATATTCTATAAATCGGTCCATCAACTATTTATATTCTTACCATAATAATTGGATTTAATATGTAACACCCATAAAATCATGCCAAATTAAAACTTTTTCAACACACTGAAAAACCATTTAATCATTACATAATTTGTTTTCAAAATAATAATCATCAGAGTATCCCAGTTTCCAATCATAAAACATAGCAACGGCAAGAGCGATACGATTAGGTCTTCGCCTTCCCTCGATCAGCAGAAGTACCTAAAACAACAAACTAAAACTGTAAGCCTAAAATACCAACGCCATACTAATATAACCATAACATATAACAAATACAGAACAACATGCATAATGAGCCTTCAGCCTGACTGGACTGCCTAGTAAAGCCTACAGTCTATCTGGACCGCTCCCGAGCATTTGCATTACTGGACCGCCTTGCAGGGCTTGCAGCCTATCCGGACCGCTCACCGGGTATGTTAGCCTACTAGTTGTCATTTGTCATCGGACCACCGTTCGATCTTTATTAGACCACTGCTAGACTAACACCAAATACAATGATATTTTTTTGATCGTATTCACAGCTTAATAAAACAAACATTATAGCTCTCGTTTCTTTTGTAATACTCAGCCAAATATAGAAAAATTAATAAAAAAAAATAGAATTATGCCTTGACAAATTCAATTTTCTCTCTTTTAAATTGTAGATTTAAAAAAATGTATCGTTTATAAGAGATATTTACAGTTTAAATAACATATGCACACTTTAATAGGCATATTAATTCACTAATAATCAGTTTAATATTTTCATGTATACATTCATTCATATTTTAACACATATTTATATAATATATACAACTTTATACAGTCCATTTTTAGTTTAATACATAAAATTTACAACATAATCCAATCCATTATATACTAATTCACAAAATCAAATAAGTCAAACTCAAACTCTACCACCACCACTAACTACCACACACTGCCACCAACTACATGTGCCACTTTCGCAACCATCATTCATTCGAAATCAGATTTGTATATAAAATTATGCATTCATATTTTAACATAAAATTCATTAAAATTCCACAGCTTAATATAATTAATTCACAGTTTAGTACACATAATTTACAGCTTAATATAATAAATTTACATTTTAATACACAAAAATTATACATTTATAGCTATATTCTCAACTTAAAACTTACATGTATAACTTCAGATATATATATATATATATATATATATATATATATATATGTGCGTGTGTGTGTGTGTGTGTGTCGGTACTTCTTTCAAATTTTATTTACATAAATATTCACAATTCAAATTTAAATATTCACAAATATTCAGATCTGTGTATAATGCTTCTTTCATCTCATATTTCAAAAGCAAAAAAATAAAAATATTCAGATCTGTGTGTGCGTGCGTGTATATGTGTGTGTGTGAGAAAAGTGAATATACCATTAATGATATATAAGCTTAGGTACCTAAAATCATCATACTACGTCGTTTTGTGTCATTTATGTATTCTAATTGTCCAATGTTGTTATAATTCAACCTCTAACTTGATTTACTTCTAATATTTTTATAAATTTTACATTTATCTTCCTCTTACATAATTTTCATTTTCAACTATAATGTATATAACCTAGTAAATGTTTGGCAAAAAGATATGATGTAAGAGAAAGATAATAGTGAAATTTCAAAAAATTTGAAAGTAAATCAAGTTAAGTGTTGAAGTTTAAGAACATTATAATGAATATATCAAACAAAATGACATATTATGGTGGGTTTTGGTACCTAAACTTATATACCCTTAAGGGTATATATATATATATATATATATATATATATATATATATATATATATATATATATATATATTGAAATTATAAAAAAATGTTGATTGGGGACAAAATAATGAAAGGCAGACATTAAGATTTAGTGGATACGTAGCAAGTACGTGTTAAGAGGTGAAGATCCCCTCGTACCTCCCTCCACCCAGCAAAACACTATCCATATTGCATCTGTAAGGCCAAGGCATTTACTTACACATACAAATGCAAATGCAAATGCGTTCACGTGGTTCCCCTCTGCTGCCTGCTATTATATTCTTGGTCAGTTGGTCCCACAGACATACATGATCATCCATTATTACCATCCAAAATTTACTCTCATTAAAAAGAATGTTATGAAACGCAAACCACCACTGTCCCTAACCTTTCACCATCATAATAATAATAACTACCCTTGTCAAAATAAATATAAATATGAAATTATGTACAACAACAAGTCTTGGGATTTGTAGATAGACTTTGTTGTTTCATTGAAGAGAGTGAGGGAGAATCCCAAGAGAAAGGTGTCCCTGTTTGTTTGATAATTATTAAAATAAATGTCATCCTTAAAGAAGATCACAGGATGCTGCTTACCTTTTCCCTTACTTGTGCTTTTT